TAGTTCCCACCCACTCCCAGAGGGAGGCCAGTCAGAGGCAGCTTCCAGGCCTTTCCCACCTGTCTCCAGATACTGTGATCAAGTGACGACAATCATAGGTGAACTTCATGCCAGTGACGATTTCTAGGAGCAGAACAGAGAAGCTGTGCTGACCTTCTGAGACAGAAGGCTGTGGGAGAGCAGGTGGGGAGATGTCCTAAGCAGGGAGGCACACCCACCAGAATGGCCAAACATCTTGGCGATGCACTCGCCAGAGTAAAAGTCAATCACCGAGATGCTTTTGTCAGAGCAGCTTGTGGCCAGGAAGGTGCCCGAGGGGTCCACGTGGACCTGCGAAGAAGAAGGCGCAAGTGATACTTGGACTGCCTGCTTCTTCCTTATCATGAGGCCTGGGAAATGTCACAGCCCCCACTGACTGAAGATCACCCTTGTGCTGGATGCCTGGCACGTGGACTCGTCCCAGACAGCCCTCACAACATGCCCTGGTAGGGTAGGAACTCCTGATCCCATTTCACAGGTAAAGAAATTAACAACCACAACAAAGTAATGATGGCAGCTGGGCCCTGTGCTAATAAGCACTATACGTATATAACTATTTCCTCCACAGAACAACCCTATGACAGAGGCTCTTTCTATTTGCATTTTACAGATAAGACCAGTTTGAGAGGAGATGATGCTTATCCAAGGTCATGGTCAGCCAGAGGCAGAGCTGTGAGGAAGTCTGACCCTGGAGCCTGGACTCCTAACTAATCCAGAGGCTCTGAGACAACATAGGCAGGGGACAAGCCTGGCGAGGGAGTCCTGGCCTCTCTGATTCTTCCCACCATACTCTGATGCCTCAAAACAAAAACCACTTAAAATGGCCCAACTTGGGAAAGGGCTAAGTAAATAAAGGTGAAGCATTCTGGTTCGCCCCCAGCTCCCTGGCATCTTTAGTCAGCCAGTCCAGAGTGGGTGCAGGCCAGCATGTGATCCTCTGATCAGGTGCCAAGAAGGACACAGGTCTCAGATGGCCCATCGGGGCAGCAGACACATGGGAGCCTTGTGCCTATACACATGTGGGGTCTGTGTACAGTTTTCACCCTGGGGGCCCCAGCTCCTCACCTTCAGCAGGGACCCTTCGTCACCCTGGGAGCCCTTGTAGCATTTCTTCTGCTTCCCATTCACGGTGTTGTAGACTCTGGGGGCATGGGGGAAGAACAGGGCCAACATGGACCTGCCCACCCACTCCCTTCTCTCTCCTGGAAACCCTGTCACCTCTTATCCTGTGTCCGATGCCTGGACTAAAACCCCATCTCAGGCTGAGGTCATAGACATTATGCATTGGCGTGCCCATTGAGTTAATGTCCATCTCCCTCACCACAGAGCAAGCCGAGTGCCTGGCACCCAATTTGAGTGAGCAGATGAAGGAGAAGAACATCTTAGCACATGCTCTGCTTTCTGCACATTCCTTCCCTCCTCTGGCTCACTCCATGTTCTTCCCCGTCTCAGTTTAGATGTTCCTTCCATCAAGCCCTGCGTGATTCCCAGGTGGGGCTGGGTGTCTCTCCAGGACCCCAAATTCCCTAGGCTCCCCTCATCCCAGCTCTGACTACTCCACGCCATCACTATTTGGTGAAGTGTCAGTCTCTCCTCCACTGGACTGTGAGGCAGGGCACAGCACTGCTCTGCTCACTGCTGTGACTCCTGCACTGTCCATCCCAGACAGGTGCTTGGAGAATGTAGATGAATGAATAAGTTTATGAGCCACTTCGGCACCTCTCAGTCACGCCACATAGGTTTCTGGAGAGCTTGGAACCCTCTGCTGATCTGGAGGCTAGGCCTGGGTAAGCCCAGCTCCTAAGAAATGCTCACTGTTTCTCCACCCCACTCAGCTTCTCAGGGACCATATGAGCAGGGGGGAAGGAAAGCAGACAGCTCACAAGAAAACAGACTCAATTAGGTCCATACAGATGCCACTCAGAAAGCAGTCCAGGCCAGGCCGACTGTCCCAGGGCCCAGGGCAGCTCCTCACCTCACATTGCGGTCCTGACAGGCCACAGCCACGTACTTCTGGGTGATGTCAATGTCCATGTCATACAAGGTGGTCTTCTCTGCCACATGGTGGGTACGAACAAAGTGGAGCCCATCTGAGGCCTGGCAGGGCAGGCAGGGCTTCAGAGGACAACCCTGACAAGCCCCCACCCCAACCCCAAAGGAGACCATTCCACTCTACCCGCTGGGCACTGCGGAAATAGATGCTCTTGTCGGCCCCACAGCTGATCATCTGGATGTCTCTGTTGCCTGGAAGAGGAGGAGGCGGTGTGTCAGGCAAGGATGGGCCACCACTGGGCCTGAGTGGGACCAGGGATCTGAGCCAGGGAACTCCACTGCAAGGGAACTCTGCTGGGGGTCAAGGAGGGCTTCCCAGAGGTGAGATGGGTGCTGGATACAGGTAGGACTCTGTAAGGTGTGAGCTGTGTGTGTGAGGGGGTGCAGATGGAGCAGTTATAGGGAGGCCTTTGCAGAGCAAGGGCAGATAGGGAAACAAATGACAGGACAAAGAAAAGACACCATATCTAAAACAGGCAGACCACTAGGAGGCTCGTACTATCAAAAACAACCAGAACATTCACACATACCTCAGGCCAGACCCTGTGCTACACTGTACTACCCTGAATGCTCACTAGCCATTCCATTGCACAAGTGTGACCCAGGGGCTCAGAGTCACGTAGTCCGTGTCCCAGGGCACGCAGAGAGTCAGGACAGGGCCAGGACTGAAGCCAGGCATTCTTTGCTTAAACAATGTGCTCTGAACTCGGCTTCCTCTCCAAACCTCAGCTTCCTGTCTGTGCAATGGGTCTATAACAGCCAAGAAGCTGTGTGAAGCTCCTGGAACAGTGGCTGCCACATGGTAAGCACTATAAATGACTTTGCTTTTACCCTCCTTTCTTTACAGAATAACAACAGCACAAATACATCACAGAGCTGTGATGAGGATTAAAAGACAGAGTAAACACTTGGAGCCTTGGTGCAACAGATGCTGCTCCTTCGTAACAGACATTTGAGAGAGCTCAGGCCTGACATACAAGTTAAGATGTTACTCAAGCAAGAGTCACTGGCTCACAGAAGGGAGTGAGCCCTATATGCGGGAGGGACCCAGAGCAGGTCTGCAAGTTACCGGTTATACTCTGCTTCTTAACCTTGGGTGGTGGATCCAAACAACAATGTTAGGACCATGAATAATCAGAACAGTTGCTGGCTATAAACAATGGGTGTGTGTGTTCACATCTGTCGACTATGAACTCCGATGTGGATTACATTGTATTATATGTGCCACTTAATGACAGGAATTCGTTCTGAGAAATGCGTTATTAGGCAATTTTGTCGTTGTGAAAACCTCGCAGAGTTTACTTAAATAAACCTAGATGGTACAGCCTACTACACACCTAGGCTCTGTGGTTTGGCCTATTGTTCCCAAGCTACAAGCCTGTACAGCAAGTTACTGCACAAAACAACAGGAGATTAAATCAAGCACTAAAGAAAATGATGCATGAGGCCACTGCCGGCCTAACGCAGCATACTGTCTCACAGCAATTTTTTTAAATAAGTACAAAGTGTACTCTAAAATAAATTAAAAGTATAGTGCAAATATATAAACCATAACAGTCATTTATTAGTATTATCAAGTATTATGTACTGTACATTAATTGTATGTGCTTTACTTTTATCTGACTGGCAGCGCAGTAGGTTTGTTTACAGCAGGGTCACCACAAACATGTGAGTACTGTGACATATGTTGCACTATGACATTATATAGGGTATGATGTTACTAGGCGATAGGAATTTTTCACCTCCATTATAATCTTATGGGACCTCCTTCGTATATGTGGCCTGTCATTGACTGAACCGTCATTATATGGTGCATGTCTGTAAACCGTATTGTAGTCACTTGTTTGGACATACGTTTCACAGTAAAGAGTTAAAAGACTGAATTCTTCTTTAGCAGGGTAGCTTCAGATGGGTTCAAACTGGCTGGTGCCCAGTTTATACTCACTATCAGTGTTTTGAGCATAACCTCCAGGGGGACCAGCCCGGCAGAGCAGGGCACTCAGGAGCTGGGTCTAGGAGCTGTGTCTCCTCACACCAGCTGAGGCTCTAATGAAGGCCCACACCCCTCAGAAGGTGGCCTTACGGACAGACTCCCTGGGCCAGTCATCACCTCTCTTGGATCTAGACCATTCATTAAAGGTGAGGTCATTGCTGGCCAAACTGCTAGATTTAGTGATTTATTCTAGTCCATAGAATGAACAGGTTTTTAACATCTGAGACGTTTTAGCTGATGAACTCTTGTTAGGACTTCGTCAAGACACATCAACCACCGTTAACTTGTTTTCGCCGGGCTCCCTATCACCTTAGCTAAAGAGAAGCAGGGCATGAAGTAGGGAGAATCCCAGGACATTAATATGTTCTGTCACAAGATTATATGTAAAAAACACTTCATAGTCAAGAACTTTGATAGAGGGCATAAATGTATTCTCCCCATGAACATATTATTCTTCAATATAGTTTTGAACACATTCCTGGCTCTGATCAGTTATACCCCACGGGGCCTGCCTCTCCACCTCTTGAAATCTAATCTCTTAGGGCCAGGGATCTCCATACTGAATCTTTTCAGTCTTTGAGGAATCCCTTTGATTTCTTGGTTGAGCGAGGGCTTTGAAAAGGGCAGCCTTAGGCAAGATCCTAGGCCTATGCCTACCAGCTGTGACTGTGGCTGTAAAATGGGGCGAGGAAGGGGCAAGCTGCTGAGATGGTGCAAGGATGATCCCCAGCACAGAATCAGCCTCTAGCAATCGTCACTTTTCTTTCTGCCAAGGTCGCCAGTGCCCATCCTGCTCTCTCACAAGATTGATATCCTGATTTCTTTTAGGGAACCAGCACTCACCTAATGCCAGTCTTCCTGGATTAGGAGTAAAGGTAGGTGAGGTCTTGGCACATAAGTCAGACCTGGCCCAAGGAAACACCCCAAAACCCTGGCACTGATAACTGTTCTGGAAAGGGCAGGTGCCTCAAGCCAGCAAAACGAAAATCAGCTTCTAATTTCTGCCAAAATGGATAAGAAGAGGGGAAACCTCTTTCCAGTGGCCCAGCGACAACTGAGATCCTACCCTCCAGAGAAAGGCACAGCTA